GGGTAGAAGCTGTTCCTCAGTCTAGTGGTTCTACACTTAATGCTCCTCAACCTCCTTCCTGAGGGGAGTGGGGCAAAAAGTGTGTGTGCTGGGTGAGTGGGGTCCTTCATGATGCAGGTGGCCCTCTTCCTGCATCTGGAGGTGTAGATGTCTGTGATGGTGGGGAGACTGATTCCAACAGATTTCTGTGCAGCCTTCACCACTCTCTGCAAAGCTTTTCTTTCTGCAGCTGTGCAGCCTCCATGCCACACATTGATGCTCGAGCACAGGATGCTCTCCACTGCACACCTGTAGAAGGAGGTGAGGACTGAGCTTCCCAGACCAGCTCGCCTCAGCCGTCTGAGGAAGTAGAGTCTCTGATGAGCTTTCTTGATCAGGCTGGTGGTGTTGTTGCTCCAGCTGAGGTTGTCATTCATGTGTACACCCAAGTACTTGTAGCTGGAGATCACTTCCACCGCAGATCCTCTTATGTTCAGGGGGGTGTAAGTGTTTTTGTTCCTTCTGAAGTCCACAATCATCTCCTTTGTCTTCTTCACATTGATGTGAAGGTTATTCTCTCTGCACCAGCTCTCCAGGTGTTCCACCTCTTGCCTGTAGCTGGACTCATCATTGTTTGTGATGCATCCCACCACCGCTGTATCATCTGCAAACTTTACAATGTGACAGCCTGGATGGGTAGCTGCACAATCATATGTGAGCAGAGTAAACAGAAGGGGGCTCAACACACATCCCTGAGGAGAGCCAGTGCTGAGGGTTATGGTGGAGGAGGAGAGGTTGTGGATCCTCACTAACTGTGGTCTGTTTGTTAAAAAGTCTAGTACCCAGTTGCAGATGGAGGGGCTTAGTCCTAGTGTGGATAGTTTGTCCATCAGGGTTTGGGGGATCATGGTGTTGAAGGCGGATGTGAAGTCCACAAAGAGCATACGGACGTAAGAGTTTTTCTGCTCCAGGTGGTTGAGTGCAGTGTGGACCACAGAGGAGATTGCATCCTCTGTTGATCGGTTCTCACGGTATGCGTACTGATGAGGGTCCTCGTTGATGTTGATGGTTGTTTTGATGTGAGTCATGACCAGTTTTTCGAAGCATTTAGCGACTATCGGGGTGAGGGCCACTGGCCGATAGTCATTCAGACCAGTCACTGTAGAGCTTTTTGGGACTGGGATGATGGTGGCAGTCTTCAGGCAGGTGGGAACTGTCTCCAGGGTAAGTGAGGTGTTAAAGATGTCTGCCAGCACCTCGCAGAGCTGATCAGCACATTCCTTCAACACTTTTCCGGGGATGTTGTCTGGGCCAGTTGCTTTGTGCGGATTAATCCTCCTGAAGGTACTCCTTACTTCTGCTGAGGTCACGCTGAGATGCTCTTCATCCGGTGGCGAGGTGAGTCTGGTGCTGGGTGGTCTGTTCGGATCTTCAAAGCGTGCATAGAACTTGTTGAGGGCATCAGGCAGAGATGGGTCTTTGGGACATTGTTCGCTCCTTCCTTTATAATCTGTTATGCACTTAATGCCCCTCCACATGCTCCGAGGGTCTTGTGAGATGAATTGACCCTCGATCCTCTTTGCATATGCGGCCTTGGCCCTCTTAATACCAGCAACCAGCTCTTTTCTTGTCCTACTCAGCTCCTCTGAGTTTCCAGACCTGAAGGCAGTGTTCCTGGCTTCCAGCAGGGTACGCACCTCTGCATTCAGCCAAGGTTTTCTGTTTGGGTAGCTTTTAACATTTCTGATAGTGGAGACTGTGTCAGTACATGTACTAATGTAACCCAGTACTGAGGATGTGTATTGGTCAAGATCAAGCGAACCTCCATTTTCAGCAGCTTCTCTGAAAACCTGCCAGTCTGTTCGATCAAAACAATCTCTCAGTATGGGTCCACTGTCCTGGCTCCAACATTTAACTTTCTTTTGTACCGGTCTGGAGCGTCTCAGCGGGGGCATGTAAGCAGGAGCCAGGAAGATTGAGATGTGGTTTGACAGTCCTAGGTGGGGGCGGGGTTCGGCTTTGTATGCATCTTTTACGTTCGTGTAAACACGGTCCAGCGTCTTTTGTCTCCACGTGTCGGAATCGTCACATGCTGATTAAAGCTTGGGAGACAGTCCTTTAGATTCACATGGTTAAAGTCTCCGGCTACAACGTAAAGAGCCTCGGGGTGTTGGCTCTGCAGCGAGCTGATGATATCATGTAGCTCCTGTAGTGATTCATTAGCATTAGCGTCCGGAGGAATGTAAACAACTGTGATAAAAGTCACTGTGAACTCTCGGGGTAGATAATGTGGCCGACATTTCACTGTTATTTGCTCCAAAGCCTTTGAGCATGAGCTATTTACAACAGTACAGTTCGTGGACCAACTTTTACTCACGTAAATGCACACTCCGCCCCCCCGTGATTTCCCCGTTAGCTCGCTGCAGCGGTCCGCTCGAAAAAAAAAGTCTGTCATCCAGCTGGAAGACTGAGTCCGGCGTTTCACTTGTAATCCACGTTTCCGTGAGGCAAAGCACTGCACACTTCTTCATCTCTTCTGAGGCGCCCGCTCTCAGACAAAATAAATCCACCTTGTTGTCCAACGAGCGGACATTCGACAGAAAGAGAGACGGCATGGGGAGTTTACCGGCTTTAGCGTTAGCTCGTAGCCTCACCATAACCCCCGCCCGGCATCCTCTCCTCTTAAGCCGGGAGCAGCGCTTCCTCTTCTGCCCGCTGGAATGCCTCTGCTGCAGCTTCCAGGTAGATGACTTTAAGATCTGCATTCTGCCGAGCGTAGCTTTGAGTTTGTTGCTGATTTCTGCTATATTTCGTGGCAAATCCGCTCCTATTCTCATCAGTTCGGTTCGGCTATAGTTCACACGCATAAATCGCGCGGAGTCAGGCACAGAGTCAATATCAAAACTTCTAAAAACTGGGATGGTACCGGGAGCCTGTGAAGCTGCAACTGCTCTGAGCGCGGCCATCTTGGAGATATGACAATATCTGTCAAGCAAAGGTGAAATGTCAAGCAAAGGTGAAAATTTCTTAAAAAACAGATATCACCCTGGCAGGAATACACCATAATATAGCTTTAGGAAAAAATATTTTTTTCAACTTTCAATACAGAATATTTCAAGTAAAAGCTAACCTCAAAAATATTCTCATCAAGCCCCTGATAAGAAAAAATAAAGGCCTAGAACTCCTTAAACAAATGAAAAATGTTTGGGACATTTTTATGCCAGAGTGTTATTCAATTTAATTTAATTCAAAATAGTTTATTAATCCCAAAGGGAAATTAAATGTAGTAACTCATCATCCTGGCTTCATTAAGAGTTGTTCTAGATGCTCATGGATGTACAGGAATATCCTGATGCATGCTCAATAATCCAGGTAGAAAAATCTAAAAAAGTTAAATCTGGTCCTCTGGACATTCAAAAAAACAAAACAAAGCAAATCAACAAAAAAATGTAGAAATGTTTCGTCTCTCATCCGAGAGACTTCCTCAGTCTGAGGAGCTGTATTCAGCTCAGTCTCTTAAATAGCACCGTCTCAGAGTGGATCAACCAGTTTCCTCCCAGCAGCTTGTTCACCACAGACAGCCAGCTGCATGTGTCGAGGGATGATCCCGGTCCTCCTGCTGTCAGGGGCAGCGCCTCACAACAGCTCCAGGATCTCGTCGGGCAGGTACTCAAGCACCATCACAGGTAGACGGCGATGCATTCACAGCACCTCCTTTTCAACTCATTTGGGATTTGGGGATGTATTTGAGGTAATATTTGAGCTTAGCTGCTTCCGGTTGTAAAAACCACCTTGTTGTCATGGTTACACTTCATAATAAATGTCCAAAAGTAAAAATGGTTTCAGTAAAAATCCTTCCAGCTGCACAGCCTCTGATACCAGAGGAAGTGATCATCTGACAGAAGCCATTTACCTCCAGAAAAAAGAGGAAATAAAGTTTTCTAAAGCGATATCCCAGATTGAATGTAACAGCTACTCCAACCTGCAGCCACCTTGAGTGGCGCAATTCTAGAATTATGAATAATAATTCCTTGACGAAACCTTGCAATTAACGTAATGCGTAATATCATGTAAGTATAATAATAATAGTGATATTGTTAGTAATATCATGAGATATCATTCGCAGATTATGTGTTTAAATGACTGAGTTAATACTACATCAAACTTCAGCTCAATATCGTTAAAATGGACTGACTAATAGCCAATTGTGTTAGCTAGTATCAATTAGCTGAGGCAGCCATCTTGAATAGGATTCACTCCAGAGTTGATCAGGCGTACTTCCAATCGTAATTTCTACAAGTTGTATATAATCCATTCAGTGATTCATG